ACGTTGTAATTATTAATGGATGTTTGCGGCTCTTTCTTCTCATTTTGAGTTGTGCCACTTCAGCAATAAAGGTCCCAAAAGCTTGACTCCATCCACATCATTAAAGTTGACTCTACTTTGAGGAGGTAGCTCTTCCCCTGTTGTATTTTGAGTGACTTCTGGGTTGGCTCATCTTTTTGCACTTTATCAGACAATGTTACTTTTCATGGCCCCGTTTTTCAGAAGTAGATTGCCACATCCTTGTTTTTAGTCTGTCTTAGTCTGGACACTCTGCTGAAACCTGTCCACCATGGGTTACCCTGCTGGCATTAGAAATATCGGTGGCATAGCTTCCAGTATCACAGCTACATACAAGTCACCATATTAAGACAAACTGACAGACGAGTGGTGGATTAGTCATAGACATGATGATAAATTGAGCTGTTTCTTAGAGCAGCTTAATCTGAACACTGCATGTGTAATGGGAAATATTTTAACTTCCTTATTCAATAGAGATATAACCATATGACTAAAAAACACTTAATGTTGAGTAAAATAAGTATTGGTTACAATGAGTATTTGAAAAAACCTGAAATGCAAGACTAGTTCACTTTAAAGAAATAGTGAAAACAAAATTAACCACTTGTATAGAATGAAAGAGACCTAGCTGGATTTAGCATTTTAATCATTGCTAAGTGATACACGAAAGTTACCCAAAAGTTAAAATTAATGTCATTGGATTTGACAATTTGAGTTGTAGTGAGTGACAGTGTGAGCTATAAATGCAAAGATAAGCTGAAATTTTAATTGAGAGAATATTATGTCACAGAATTTTTTACTTTGTTCATTGGGCAAAAGAGGTCACTAAATATTTTGAGCAAGAAAATGACAGCTCTATAGTGTCATGACAATAAAGTGAAGCATGCAACCCAGATTGGACCCTGAACACCACCACCACCGCAGATAGTAGGACAACTGGAAAAATTTGAATAAGCTCTTGTCCTTGTTAACTAGTATTATTGTAACTCAAATATCAAAAGTGGGCGGCTGCGGAAGACAGAATTTTTTTTTCTTACATTTCAAGAAGCCAGAAGTCCAAATCAGAGTCTCAGTTATGTTACTTATTTCTATGGGCCTCTTTCCTAGTGTGGTGATTGCTGGCAATCTTTGACATTCCTTTGTTTGTAGGCAGGTCCTCACATGTGGTCATTCTTCCCTGTGTGTGTGTCTTTGTGTCTAGTCTTCTCTTTTTATAACTCAGAAATGATTTAGGACCTACTTTTCTGTGGTATGATCTCATTAACATAAAAGAAAAACCCTATTTCCAAACAGAGTCACATCCACAGGTCCAGGAGCCAGGACTACAGTACATACTCTTGTAGGACACAATTCAATCCATAACGGTTTCTAGATTACAGTATTTTGTCAGTGTTAATTTGCTGAAGTGGATACATCACATTACTGTGGCTATGAAAGAAAATGTCTTTGTTTTTTAGAAACATACACACTAAAGTGTTTTGCAGTAAAAGGACATCATATCTGGAACTTCAAATATTTCAGAAAAAAGTCATATATGTGTGTGTATGTATGATATATACTTCTATATATATCTCTCGATATTTCTGCTATGAATTGAATTGTGTCCCCCCAAAATATCTGTCAACTTGGCTGGTCCATGATTCCCAGTATTGTGTGATTGTCCACCATTTTGTCATCTGATGTGGCTTCCCTATGTGTTGTAAATCCTATCTCTACAATGTTGATGAGATGGGATCAGTGGCCGTTATGTTAATGATGCAGGACTCAATCTACAAGATTAGACAGTGTCTTGAGCCAATCTCTTTTGAGATATAAAAGAGAAGTGAGCAGAGAGACGGGAGACCTCATCCTAACAAAAAAGCAGTGCCGTGAGCAGAGCAAGTCCTTTAGACCCGGGGTTCCTGCATAGAGAAGCTACTAGTCCAGGGGAAGATTGGTAACAAGGATCTTTCTCCAGAGCTGACAGAGAAAGCCTTCCCCTGGAGCTGGCACCCTGAATTCAGACTTCTAACCTCCTGAACTGTGAGAGAATAAATTTCTGTTTGTTAAAGCCATCTACTGTTGTCTTTTTATTATAGTAGCACTAGATAACTAAGATATTATCTATATCTCTCTATATATGTATAGATGTAGAACTGCCCCATAGGGTTTCCAAGGAGCTACTGGTGGAGTCAAAGTGCCGACCTTTTGGTTAGCAGCTGAGCTCTCAACCACTGTGCCACCAAGGCTCCAATATATAGATGTATAGATATTAAAAAAAAAAAAACAACAAAAAAAACTCGACTCATAGTGACCCTATAGGACAGAGGAGAATTTCCCCATAGGGTTTTCAAGGAGCGGCTGGTGGATTTGAACTGCCAACCTTTTGGTTAGCAGCAGCCTGAGCTCTTAAACACTGTGCCACCAGGGCTCCTATATAGACATAGACAGAGAGAGAGAGAGAGATCTATATCTACAGATATAGAATCCCATGGTGGTGCCAATTGTGAAGCGCTCAACTATTAACCAAAAGGTTGGCAATTTGAAGCCACCCAGAGGTGCTTCAGAAGAAAGGTCTGGCAATCTGCTTCAGAAAGTTGACGGCCTTGAAAACCCTATGGAGCAGTTCTACTCTGCACACATGGGGTCACCATGAGTCAGAATCGACTTGACAGTAACTAACAACATAAATACACACACACACACACACACGGGTAAGTAGTAAAACAAGTGTGAGAAAATGTGAACATTTGGGGAATCTGGATGAGAACTACACAGGGATTCTTTGTATTATTATTGCAAGTTTTTGGAAGTCTAAAGTATGACAAGTTTAGAAGAAAATTAAGGTATCAACTACATAAAATAGACGAAGAGATGACTAGACTGTGAGAGCTTGGACACATCAGTAATTTTAGTGAGAAATCTTCATTAGCAGCCTTCTGGAGGCAAATCTGGGAGACCCTACCTGAATTTAAAATGGTATCAATTCAGAAACTGCACTTTTGGGCATTTGCCTTATGAAAATATACATATATGTACACCAAATACAACATTATTTTGTATTAGAATAAAATAAACCTGAATTTCCATTTGAAATGAAGTTATGACACATTCATGATATAGAATAATAGGAAGTTGAAGATACATTTATGAAGATCCAATATGTCCTTGAATGGAAAGATACCCAAAACATATTAAATAAAAAAACTTCAAAACTATACATACAGTAAAATCCCATTTATGTTAAATCCTATTATGTTAAAATAGCTTTGATATTTAAAAATTACCTGTTGTTGTTGGCTATAAATGCTACAATAAGATCTAGATGAATACAGAACATGGTGCCTCTTGGTGGGAGAGGGGGCAGTTTAAAGGGAGGCTATAACAGCTTACTCTAAATGCATCTGTTTGTTTGATAATACATAAACATATTCAGATATCACTTGTTGAATTAAAAAAATAAAAATCACAAAGTTAGTTTCAAAATGCATTGGATTACATTGTAGCAAGACTGTAGACTGCTGCAATAGTCTGATTAAGAAGAATGGGAAACCAAATGAGGATGCTGTCAGCAGGAATGGCGTGGAGGTGGTAGATGTAAGATCTGTAAGAATTGGTGCCCGAAAATATACAGAATGTGACAAAGGAAGGAAGATACAGTATGGGTGACTTCAACAGTGATGACTTTAACTGAAATAGAAAATTCAAGAGAACCTACTGATTTGTGAGGAAAGGATAATAATACTAGTTTTGGAGACAATGAATTTGAGATATTAGAAGACCACCCAGGTAGATAAGCCACAGGTCACTTAGAAATATGTGACATTCAAAGTACACAGATCAAAACTACTCCAGGGATAGGTGAATAAACCCTTGAGAGAAGAATTACAAGCCAACTAATAGTGGACACTGATTATAACTCTTTGCTATGATCATTGTCCAGAATTTCATTTGTAGTTAGATATGCACACTTAATCCTGGGATAGCTATTTATATATACTTGGGTATTAAAATTAATCTTAAGAATCTACAATATTACAGAAAAGGAATTCATTCCCATTATTTTCTACAAATAAATTCCCAGAGAATGTGACCTTTCTTCCGTATAGTATATTTTTCCATTTAAAACTCTGTATCTAGACCAAACCCTTTAATATTAATAAAATTTTCCAGAACATAGAAAACAGATTCCAAGCAAATACAGTCATTACAAGTGAAAATTTAAAATCAATTCTTATTCAAGACCTTTTTTCCCTACTACAATTCACTTAAAATATTATTGCCCTGGGTTCTTTTGTCATTAGTAGGATATTGAAATCCAACAGTTGGGTTACTTGTAGTATTTAAAACTATTTCTATAGCTATATTTTTGCAACTAGAGGGTGCTGAAGGGCTACAGAGGATTAGCTTGTATCCCATTTAGAAAATTTAATGAGCACAGTGAGAATCCTTTAAAATATTTAAAGAAAAGTCATCAATAAATTGAATCACATATGGCCATTAGCAGAAACAATATTTTTAACACATTTTATTATTGAGTTGGCCATACAAATTTTCAGCTGCAACAAAACACTGCAAATAACGTAAATATGCTTAGTAGTATGCTTATTATTGGTTTTTTATATTTATGTTATGTGTCTTACAGAGAGTTCTAATTTCAGCTATGGTGGGAATAAAAAAGGTGCATTGGCTGCAATATCTATTGGCAGCTAGGGGTCTCATAGACTAGAAAGTGCTTATTTTGGGGTTGGAACAAGATCAAAGGAAGTAAATCTCAGTTGTCTAGAATTGAAGCAAGAAAGAAAATACAAGTAGAAGTGAGGTCTGACACTACTCCTTTGTTTCTTCCTAGGCAAGAAGAACAGAAAGTTATTATTTACTAATTCTTTAAATGTTTTACAACAAATCCCAAATTATTCAAATGAGTAAAAAAAAAGAAATAAGAAAATTCAGAAAAAAACTGGACATTTTTTCCAACTCAAGTTATTTCTAGTAACGGTATTTTCTTCTCAGTGTCTTAAAAATGATGGGGAAGCACAAATCTATTACTGTGTTCCAAATGAAAATATTCCTGACTCAAGTTTGTAAGGCACTATGCTTTTGTGTACTCTGTATCAACAAAATGAAATCCATAAAAATTTATTTAGGTTTTAAGGTAGATTGAATGGAATTTCCTTTATCCTAAATAGTCAATAAATACATCTACTCTTCATTTATTTTTATTTTTTTATCAGAAGCCCAAGATTCAGTATGCATTTATGTAAATCTCAAATTTCTCTTTGTTCCAAACATGCTGTTTTTGTTTTCCAACATTTTGACATCATGGAGCCCTTTAAAATGAGCTGATTTTACAAATAAGTAATTTTCTGAACTTTATTTTTCCACAGAGCCCACATAATTATAACCGATATTTTTCTATTTAAAAATTTGAAACAATACATAATAGGGTATGCAATACAATATACAATAAGATTTGCTTCATCTGTGATAATACTGTCCAAACTATACAAGAATAAAATGGCTTTTCTGGAAAGTTACAAGGAAGGAAATTTGAAATACTACATACAGTAGAACGGTGATCACAGCAAGACTCAGCGTGCATGTTATTTTATTATCTGAGTTACTTGAAGTATTTACAGTTTATACTAACTGAAGATAACTGGGTTTATATTATGTAGTATGTGTATCCTTCATTTATGCCGAAAGCAATATGTATGCCCTACATATATACACAATAGTAGAGCACAGACATTACAGGGTCATGCTACCATTCAAAATTAAGATGCCACGTTTTTATTACAATCAAATGGCATCCAAAATGCAATCTATTGCTATGAAAATGCAAACTTTTTCACAGATTGGCATTTAAGAACAGAGTTGGTCACAATGAAATGGAACATTATTTTCTACAAATGGAAAAGATTTATCATAAATATATAGACCAATATATAACGTTGAAGAACAAGAAACAGAAGGGAAACAACGCTCTTGCATAAAGATCAATTCGCTTTGCTGCTGTTGGAATAACAGGTTTCGCAGGAGGCGGCTTCTTGCTGTTTTTTGCCTGAGATTTCCCAAGTCCATTGTTGACTTCAATGGGTTTTCCATAGCAGTCATAATTGGATAACTCAAAATCTCTTGGTAAGCTTCCAACAATGCTGAAGTCATTAGATCTCAGATCAGACTTCGAAGTACAAACCTTTTTGCATCTGGTCTCACCAACCTGAGAATAAAAATTAAAGACTGCGTATTTAGAATTTTTCTATTTTTAAAACACATCTCTTCAAAAGGATATTTTAAAAATTGCTGGTTTCCACAAGAGGGTTTCCACAAAGAACTAAAGGAGATAAGAATCAACTGATCAAACCATCAGGTTGCCTGAACATCTTGTTAGGACTCTAAAATGTTGCCTATATAACAAGGTTTGTGGCATGGAACAAACTTTTGAAAGTTATTTTATGTAAGGGATCAAAGTGACAATCAGCCCTTACATTAGATGCTCCAGGCTTGTGAGAATTCTCAGTTGAAAGTCCAATATTTAAAAACTCCATCATTCCTCCAAGATTTATCCATGGTACTGACCATATTGTTACAATACATAAATTGCAGAAATCTCCTGGTACTTCTAAACTTTGACTTCCCTATGGGCTCTACTTCCAAATAGGGTGTTTTATAAATTACCAAGGCAATAATCCCATCAATGAGAAAGACTGTGTCTCTAAACCACATTAAAAAATAAGAACTAAAAGATGATCACAAGTATTAAGAAGCAAATATTTACTAGAAGCTCTTCATAACTTGGCTAAAATTGAATTAGCCAGCCATATTCAAAAAATCCAAAGAAATTGTGTATTTATCAGATAGACAATATTCTACAAAGATTATTAAATTACCAATCTCTGGATTATTGAATTTTAATACATTTCCTGTAATAGACAAAATAATTATTTCACTACGATTTCCTTCTAGCAAGCACTAATGCTCTTAGAAAGACTGGAGGTGTAGGCTAACCCAATGTCTTAAGACAGCACTGATATTCCAAAAGGCCACAGAACGGTGAGCACTTCACTCCACTGCTTAATGTTCTCATTGTTCTTACTCCTGAGTTCTGTGATTCACCTTTGGAATCTTCACTACTTACAGTTACTACGTTTTTACTAAAAAAGGAAATCATTATATACTATGGTATACTATCAATGCCCATTGAAGCAGTATTCAAAAAATCAGATAACTTATTTTGTTGGGGAAATCTGCTGCAAAAAACCTCTTTAAAGTGTTCAAAAGCAAAAGATGTCACTTTGAGGACTAAGGTGTGCTTGACCCTAGTCATGATATTTTCAATTGCCTCATAAGCATGAGAAAGTTGGACAATGAATAAGAAAGACCAAAGAAGAATTGACACCTTTGAATTATGGTGTTGGCAGAGAATATTGAATATACCATGGACTGTGAGAAGAACGAACAAATCCGTCGTGGAAGAAGTACAGCCAGAGTGCTCCTTAGAAGTTAAGGATGGCAAAACTCTGTTTCATGTACTTTGGACATGTTATCAGGAGGGACCAGTCCCTGGAGAAGGACATCGTGTTTGGTAAGGCAGAGGGCCAACGAAAAGGAGGAAAATTCTTGAAAAGATGGATTGACACAGTAGCTGCAACAATGGGCTGAAAGGCAGCAACAACTGTGGGGATGGCGCAGGACAGGGCAGCGTTTGGTTCTGTTGTACTTTTGGTCGCTGTGAGTCAGAACCGACTGGACGGCACCTAACAACGACAATAGCAAAACCATAGCTACTGTATTTTTTTATTTAGTATACCTGACTAGTTCTGTTCATTCTATTTGCATTTACTCATTTATGAATGGGTAAAGACTATTCTTAATGTAATAAATAAAAATTAATAAAACAATGCTTTAGGTAGCAGGAGAATTTCCTTAATCTAAACAAACGGCCTCAAGGTACTGATTCACATTTCCTGGACAAGTGCCAGATGGTAGTGTTCAGAGACAGGCAGCAAAGAGAGCTGAGATACACCGAGTGGAAAATGTATATGTATTTGGGGAAATCATATATATATACTTAAATTTACTTCCAGACCTCCATTCCCTGCTCTATTTAAATTCCCCAAATTGAATTTTTAAAAAAGACCACTTTTTTCTTCTGGTTTCCAGTCTGACATATCAAGATCTGAGAAGTCATCACTTCCATCTCCACAACAATAAAAAACCTGAAAACCAACAATTCTTCTTAGATCCATCAGAGAACAGAGGTAACAGCGCAAACTACCGCACTGAAAAAATTGGACAGGTTGATACAGAGAATCATCGCTTACCAGGAGCTGAAACTACCATGCTGGACCCAGCATCAAGAGTAGGAACACTTAAAAGTCAATTGACTAATTGCTGGAGACTGAGGGCGGACTAGCCTGAGGGATAAAAACTCCTAGAAGTCCAGCTTTAAGGAGGCCCCCACACTTTTGTGAATTTTACCTCCAGGAGTACCCCCAGGTTCTCACTGTGACGAGCAGAGAAAAATCCCCTAATGCTCCTGTCAGGGGAGGAACACAGCAACCGTTCTGAAATAGTGCTCGACTCTCCCTAACAGCCTGCCCTCAAGGGAAACTCCTAGAGTCTAACACGCTTGGGATTTATTGAAGACCGGCTGCCACGGAGGAAAGCAAATACCAAACTCCATCACCCTCTAACCTTCCACGTGGGGGAAGAGAAATACTCAACCCCAGCGCTCTTCTAGCCTTCAGTGTGAGGGAAGGGAAACATCCAACTCCAACCTCCTCTAGACTTGGACTTGGAGGAAATTAAATATCCAGCTCCGCCACTATTTAGCCTTCCTGTTTCACCTAAGGAGTTTAAAAAAAAAAAAAAAAAAAGCTGAAAAGCACTTGTAAAGGTCACAACCAAGGAGAACAGGCTCCCTAAACTACTGAGACCTAATCACAGAATTATAGAACCTCCTCCCCCGACTCGCACACCTTGCCACCACATCAACATCAACAGGGCTTTACAGCGATTACAACAGAAGGAACTAAAGTGCATTTTACCTTATACATCATGTCTGGCTTTAAACAACAACAAAAAAACATTTCAAGATATGTTAAAAGGAAGAAAACACAGTTTGAAGAGACAGGGCAGGCATTTTGGGGTTATGAGAGGAGGAATTTAAAATCACTATGGAGTCCCTGGGTTGTACAAACGGTTAAGCATAATTACTAGCCAAAAGGCTGGCAGTTCAACCCTACCCAGGGGCACCTCAAAAGATAGGCCTGGCAGCCTGCTTCCAAAAGGTCACAGTCTTGAAAACCCTATGGAGCAGCTCTACTCTGGGGCTGCCCTGAGTCGGAATCAACTTGACGCTGACTAACAACAAAACATTATTAACATACAAAGGACGCTGATGGAAAAGTACACAGTACGCAATAATAGATGAGTAATGTAAGCTGAGGGATGGAAACTGTAAGAAACAATCAAAAGGAAATACTAGAAATCAAAAACACTGTACAAAAATGAATAATGTGGGGGAAGGGCTCATTAATAAATGAACACGACTGAGGAAAAAAAATCAGTGAGCTTAAAAATGTGTCAATAGAAACTTTGGAAATTGAAAAGCAAAGGAAAAAAAAATGTCCAAGAACTGTGGGGCAGTTACAAAAGGTATAATGTATTCATAATAGTAACATTACAAAAGAAGACAGAAAAAAACAGAAGAAATATTAGAAATAGTAAAAAAACTCATTGCTGTCAAGCTGATTGCGACTCATAGCAACCCAACAGGACACAGGAGAACTATCACACAGGGTCCTCAAGGCTGTAAATCCTTACAGAAGCCAACTGCCACAGCTTTTTCCTGTAGAGAAGTTGTTGAGTTTGAACCGCTGACCTTTTGGTTAGCAGCCAAGTGCTTAACCACTGTACCACCATGGCTCCTTATTAGAAATAATAACGGCTTAGAATATTCCAAACCTGTTGGCAGACATCAAACCATACATCAGGAATACCCGAGAAAACCAACCAGAAAATTTACACTTAAGCATATCATGTTCAAACTGCTGAAAATCAAAGAAAAAGAGAAAATCTTGAAAGAAGTCAGAGGAAAAAACCACATTATCTATGAAAGAACAAGGACAAGAATTACATCAGGCTTTTCTTCAGAAATATTGTAAGCAAGAAGAAAGGACAGTAAAATATTTAAAGCAGTGAGTTGAAAGAAAGAAAAAAAAATCATGATCCCAGAATTTCATACCCAGCAATGAAATTAAACTAGAAAGTATCCTTCAAAAGTGAAAGAGAAATAAAAATATCCTCCAAAAAAAGCCAAACCCATTGCCATTGAGTCGATTCCAACTCACAGCAACACACAGGACAGAGTATAGGACAGAGTTGAACTGCCCCATAGGGTTTCCAAGGAGTGGCTGGTGGATTCGAATTGCCAACCTTTTGGTTAGCAGCCAAACATTTAACCACTTTGCCACCAGGGCTCCTTTGGTTTTTTTTTTTGGTACTACCTGTGAAGCAGTATAGTGTTATTTGAAAACAGACTTACATAAGCTGTAAATGTTTATTGCAAACTCTAGGGTAACCACTAAAATTATTTTAAAAGAAGTATAATTGACATGTTATGACAAGAGAGAAAATTACTAAAATTGTATAAAACAATTAAAATTAAGAGACGGCAGAACAAAGTGCAAGAGAAAAAAATAAAGAAGGGCAACAAATAGAAAACCATTACAAATACAGTAGACATTAATTCAACTATGTCAATAATCACTTTAAATGTAAATGGTCTAAATATATCAGTTAAAAGATACAGACTATGGGAATGAATTTAAAAAACAAGACCTGATTACATATTGTCTACAAGAAACCAACTTTAAATATAAAGGCACACATAGATTAAAAGTAAAGGGCTTCAGAAGATATACCATGATAACACTAATCAAAAGAAAGCTGCAGTAGCTATATTAATTTCAAGCAAGGGAGATTTCAGAACAAGAAAAATGATCAGAGATAAAGAGGCATATTACATGATAAAAAGTTAATTCTCCAAGAAGACATAATAATCCTGAACGTGTACGCACCTAACAATGAAGCATCAAAATACAGGTGGCAGAAACTGACAGAACTGCAAGGGGAAACAGACAAATCCACTACTGGATATTCCAACATCTCTTTATCAAAAATTGACGGATTCAACGGGCAGAAAATCATTAAGGA